TTTTCATTCAGAAAAAAGTATTACGGTCCATTTTCATAGTATGATTGATGGTTAATGTTTATATTGCGATTAAAATATTATTTGATCTAAATCAAGCATTATTAATATTCCTAATTTTCAGATAACAACTTTCTTAGTTCCCAGTTTTATACAGTGTATGAGAAGGTGGATGCTAGTTGAGGTATGTATTTTGGTTTTATCTCATGGTGTAACTCTTTTAAATTCTTACATAATGCTGAAGAGGATAATTTTCTTACTTCTTCAATAAATGGTCACGTATTAAATCCCTTCTTTCCGATTTACAAAAAATTCGTTCTTTTCTTTTGTTATCGTTTCTAGACATAGAATGAATGTCTTAAGCGATCCTCTGTAACATTGTTGCTTCCTGTAAAGATCTTGTCCATGGATACGATACAGAAAATGTTGCCTGGATATGATGGAAGTGACTGCGGGATAATAGTACGTTATTAAACTCTTTAAGTAAAGCAATACCATAAATTTATTGTATCATATATCATTATTTGTTGTTCTATATTGCTTCTCTTATAAAGATAATATTGTAAAAAAAATCTTATTCATAAATTACGTGTACATATGTACATGTATATATTCGTTCTTGTAGCAAGGACGAATTTGAAAAGTAAGACACGATATCTTCATGAACTTGTTCCCACAATTGACCATTCGACAGATATAAAAAACGTTTTTGATTTTTTTTTATACACGTATATTGTATGAATATTGTTTCTGAGTTAAGCCATGCAATGATAAAATGGTTGTCTTTCTTTGTGGGTACTGGAGTCTTGTTAACTGGGAGGTGTACAAATGCACAATGTCGTGGTCTGGGGATACGAATGGGATGGACTGTGATATAGTTGGTGATGAAATTATGATTAACTAAACTCAGGTTTTTAGAGGTCTTAAAATTCAAAAATTAAGAATTTTTAAAAGCGATTCAAAAACAAGTCACGGTGCATACGATTGTTCAACACTTTATACAAGTTTGGCACATAAATAATCAATGTTTAAACGAATTTTTCCTAATTCAGAAAACTTTTGCACCGGAAAAGTTACCTTTCTAGCATGTTATTCTAACAAAGCTTTTTTTTAGGTATTGTTAAACATTATACTAATTTTGGGACCTGCTGACGAAGTCGTAGAGCACTCTCTTTTCTTTTAGACAACATTCAGGTCAGGTTTGGTTAATACCCTTATTTAAAACAGATCAGAGGAATTCTTTATGGTACTATTGTGCACCCTGGTCGCCGATTTGTTTTGTATTGCTATGAAAAGAGACTTTTATGTTTGGGGAGTCTCTGTGAGTAATTAAACAAACAAGATGTTATAGTTGCATTAATAATTACTTCAAATACCTTGATGATATTTTTGATTTAGATAGATTTCTTATTTTGAATCAAACGATTTGTCTGAAACATTTATCCGTATGAACTACAACTTAATTAAACGAAGCTCTTGAAATTTTTATGTACATCGATTTGGTTGGATTTCTTCAGTTTATTTAACTATCAACAACAATTCTATTCACACGAAAAAATATGATAAAAGAGATGGACTATGACTTTTGTATACGATTATAATATCAACATCCGGGTAGATATAGACGTACCCATTGCAACATTAACTTACGTGTGTATGATTTTGTTTTCTCAGTTTATTGAGATGTGCGATGGGATAAGTCTTGTGTAAGCAGCGAGGGGGGCCCCGTAAACGGCATCTTCAATACGAGCGGAATATTTTTATTACCTAGCAATGCTTTTAAAACAGTGTGGTTACGGCTCACCCATAAGATTACGCGAAACCTATTTAAGGGCTAATTTGTACAGAGTCGTAACTTTGAATTTAATTTCATAAATTCTCATTTTTAGTGTGATTTTGGATGAACTTGGCTTCTGTAGACAGGGATTACTGCTCCTGATGTTTTTTTATTTGGCTCTCTGGGTGGTGATTGTGACAAACGTTCGGTGGGAGAATTTATGAGTTCATAGGTAAATTTTCTCACGGTTGTTTTGGTACTGAAAATCCTTGACACCGTCTTTATTAAAGAGGTTATTATTGAACCATTTTGCTATTTTATTAAGGACATTACTGATGCTTATAGGTTCAATCCTTTTTACAGTTGGACGAAACGCTGTTTCCTCTTTTGATTTACATCTGAACGGACCACGTGGGGGACTCTCCATAATGGATAGATTCTTAAAGGACCTTTCGGACTCTGAATTGTCTTAATTGTGCGTCTTTGCTTTGCTCCCCGTCGGCTTTTTAGATGATTTTCTTGTTGCTCTGTCTTTCTTTAGGACATGTCCAGAGTTTACTTTTGTAATCGTTCACGGGGGTTTACTATATTTTTCTATATGATCATTTGGTATTTTAGCTTATTTAAACCTTTTGTAACATACACCTGTTAGAATTCCACTTGCGGGGATTCATTTTATTTACATGTCTCGTTTTATATGAACATGGGTGGGCTTCAGAGCCGAGTTTGGTTGATGCATCCATTAAGCGCGAGTTTTTACTCTTCCCAGCAGTCTATATATTATGCTCCTCACCGTTCTCAAGGCGGCTTCCTCTGTATTCCTTATTATGTATGTTATGTTGGGGTGGAATGTTTCAATAGTTTTGGTGACCTTTTGCTTGGTTGTCACTTGATGTTTCTCGTCTACGGTACAGTATCTTCCTCCCTTTTAACGGGGGTCCTAGTTGTTAATGGTCGTGTTGTATATATATCTCCTCCTTTTCTCTGCTTGGGGGTGTCGTCCGGGGGTGCCGATTCCCTTTTGTGCTGCTTTGACTTTTGTGGGATGTCCTACTAATTTAATCATTATTTATTTTCTTGGATTCCTAGTCGTTACAGATTATTTATCCATTTAGTTAGCATTTGTGTGTTTCGTGTGCCTTGTCCTGTTTTGGTTGGTCCGGGTCTCCGTCACCTGGTGTCTTGTGTGGATCATATGGGGGGTTGCGGTTTAATTTGTGTCGCTCCGATTTTCCTTGCTTTGTACTTTTGTTATTCATATTTTAGTAGATGGTTATTGGATTATACCTGTTATAACAAGTTATATAGCTCTAGTCATCGGCAAAAGATACCGTCACGATTTATTCTAATTCAATTGGCCATAAAGGATCTATGTTCTATTAAATCTTATTATCTCTGTATTAAGTGATACGCTTTTAATAATTCTATTTTGAAATCACATTGATTTGTCTCTGGGGAGGTTATAATTTATTTATTTATTCCTCTCGGCGCGTGGGGGCCACGGAACATGTCATGGAAAACAAGTAAATACTTGTTCTAGATATATTTGTTTAATAATTCGCTTTGTTCATGCCTGCAATCCAGTGGTTCAATACATATCAATCTTCAGTTTCTGTTGGCAAATTCAGAAAAATGTATATGATACGTTTTTTGTCTTTACAATGATTTATATGAGTAATTATTGAGTTGAGCGAGTTTTATTGCACAACTTCTAATCTAGTGACGTTTCATTTCTCAAATAGAGAATAAAATTCGCTCATTAAAACGTAATGCATTCATTTGTAGTGTTGAGTGATATATTCTCGCTAGTCTAGCTATACACTATGATTTTATGCGGGAGTTGCGGTGAACACCTTGCAACCGCACACCGCCCTCGTACGCATGGTGAAGGGAATGCTTGGTGAGGAGATAGGAATAGGCGAGGTGGGTGGAGCAGTGTGGTCCTGACTGATGACGATGGAATAATTAGTGACAAAAAGTAAGATATTATTCATTTAGAATTAAAGAAAATGGCGTCATTGTTTATAGTATGTTCATGGATTGTTTTTAATATATGTGTGGGAGTTAGACGGGTTGAGCCTTGATCTGAAAATCGAAGCATTGGGGCGTCGTAATGTTCCTTAATGCTCTCTTAAACAAACAATTTCATTAATGGGGGGGGTTTTCATGTATCTCCATTTTCTTTTACTCTATTTGTTATTATTAATTAGTATATTTGTTTGTATTTGCATTTTTCTTATTAATGCACTGAAACCTTTAACTTTACAAAAAGCTGAATGGTGACAATTTTTTACTCTTTTAAGCTCGTCATTGCTCAACGTATTAAACATCCCTTCTTTTCCGTTTTTATCATTTATATTCTGTGTAGTGTTTGTTAGTCCCTGTAGGAGGTATTAGATTGTTATTATGTTCTAGCGTGCCTGAATGTAAAATGTGGTTACAGTGGTATATTCGATCTTGTTATTATGATGGAGGATTACGAATGCACTATGTGCGGCTGGATTATGACGATGGATAACTGCGATAATAGTACGTAATAAAAAAAATCCTATTAGTAAAGCGAACAAAGCTTTTACCATTGAATAAATCATTTGAGTTTGTTTTATGTTGTTTCCTTATAATTGAATATTGTAAACACCTGATAAATGAATACTGATGTACATGCTTTTTTTTATCATTTATAATATTATCAAAAATTCTTACGGAAAATCGCTAAAATAGGACACTTGCAAATAAGAGACATATACTTTGAAAACAACTTTAAAATTGCGCTTATTATACGAGTGTAAAAATTCAACTTTATTATTCACATAATTATAAAGCTAACTGGAATAAGATAAGTAAGAACGATAACAAGCTATGTTCTATTCAATTATATCAATAAAGTAGGTAAGTACAATAACTTTTTGAAATGCAGATGTTACATGCGGGATAAATTGTTATTATCCCGTTGCCAGGGACATTTTAAAAAAAAAACAAGTAAATACCTGTTTTAATATATTTTTGTTGAATATATTCGGCTTTGTGATGATGTTTTCAGTGGTTCAGTACATTGAAATCAGCTTTTCTGCTCATCAGGAAAATGTATAGATAGGTTTGTTACAAAGAAATAGAGATTATGAGTTGAGCGGACTCCAACGCCGAGTTTTTTCGACACTTACTAACAAATAGAAATAAAACGCCATCAAAAGTAATGCATTCTTTGATTTATCATGTTTCCCAATAGATATTAATGAATGCGATACTGACCCTTGCAAGAATGGTGGTACCTGTAAGGATCTTGTAAACAAATACGAATGTACATGTGCTGCTGGATACGATGGAATTAATTGTGACAATAGTAAGATATAATTCATTCAGGATAAAGAAAAATACGTCATATTCATAGTATGATTGATGGTTAATTTTAATATTGTATTAATACTTATTGATCTGAAATCAAGCATTCTTAATATTCCTAATTTTTCTTAAACAAACATTCACTATAGTACCAGTTCATACAGGTATAAAGAATATTGAGTATTGCATTTTCTTATTGCAATGAAACCTTTAACTTACAAAAGCTGAAGGTGACAATTACTTCTTTTAAACTGGTCATTGCTCACGTATTAAACATCCCTTCTTTCCGATTTTACAAATTCGTTATTTTTTATTCCCTTTAGATATTAATGAATGTTCCAGCGAGCCTTGTAAAAATGGTGGTACCTGTAAGGATCTTGTAAATGGATACGAATGCACATGTGCGGCTGGATATGACGGAGATAACTGCGAAAATAGTACGTAAAAAAAAAATCCTATTAGTAAAGCGAACAAAGCTTTTTTATTGAATAAATCATTTGAGTTTGTTTCATGTTGTTTTCTTATAATTGAATATTGTAAACACCTGACAAATGAATACTTATGTACATGTTTTTGTTCAACAAAAAACGAGTTGCGACAACATTTATCACTTATAATATTATCAACAATTCTTATGGAAAATCGCTAAAATATTACACTTGCAAATAAGAGACATATACTTTGAAAACAACTTTAAAATTGCGCTTATTATACGAGTGTAAAAATGCAACTTTATCATTCACATAATTATAAAGCTAACTGGAATAAGATAAGTAAGAACGATAAAAAGCTATATTCTATTCAATTATATGAATAAATTAGGTAAGTATAATAACTTTTTAAATGCAGATGTTATATGCAGGATAAATTGTTATTATCCTGTGGCCATGGACATTTCAAGAAAACAAGTAAATACCTGTTTTAATATATTTTGTTTAATATATTCGGCTTTGTCATGATGTTATCAGTGGTTCAATAATTGACATAAGTTTTTCTGCTCATCAGGAAAATGTATAGATAAGTTTGTTACAAATAAATAGAGAGTATGAGTTGAGCGGACTCCAACGCCGAGTGTTTTCGACACTTACTAACAAATAGAAATAAATCGCCATCAAAAGTAATGCATTCTTTGTTTGATCATGTTTTCCAATAGATATTAATGAATGCAATCCTGATCCTTGCAAGAACGGTGGTACCTGTAAGGATCTTGTAAACAAATACGAATGTACATGTGCTGCTGGGTACGATGGAATTAATTGTGACAATAGTAAGATATTATTCATTCAGGATATAGAAAAATACGTCATATTCATAGTATGCGCTTATTATACTAGTGTTAAAAGGCAACTTTATCATTCACATAATTATAAAGCTAACTAGAATAATATAAGTAAGAACGATAACAAGCTATGTTCTATTTAATTAAATCAATAAAGTAGTTTAATTAAGTTTTAAAATACAGATGTGATATGCGAGATAAAGTGTTACCATCATGTGGCCACGGTTTTCTCATGAAAACAGGTTATCACCTATTTTAATATCATTATTATCTTCGATATGTTGTTGTTTTTGTACATTCTATTCTGTGGCCATTGAGGCTAAACAGGAATATTTTCGCATGATGAATGCCTTAACGACAAAGATATGATCTATTTCTAGATATTAACGACTGTTTACCAAACCCGTGTAAAAATAACGGGGAATGTAGAGATGGACTCAATATGTTTACATGCAATTGTTCTCCTGGTTTTGAGGGAACAGAATGTGAAATAGGTTAGTTCTCATGAAATTCGTTTTCCTTCAAACCGTTTTGTTTTATCAAAACTGAAGAGGTGCAAACAATACATATATATCATATTTTTTTTAATGTTTAGTCGTTTTTTTTTCATTATGATATGAAAAAATAACTTTTTAAAGAGTTTTAGATAAATACGTAACGTTTTATAAGTAAGATATCCCTTGTATATTTTAAACTTACGATTTATTATCAATTCAATTACAAAAAATAATGATCTGGAGTGATAAACTATTATACAACATCTTATCAGAAATTATTGATAAAAAGTAATATTGAACATTCAGATATAAATGAATGTATACCAAATCCCTGTAAAAATGCTGGTAGCTGTCAAGATCTTGTTAGTGGATACACGTGTACATGCGTGGCTGGCTTCTATGGTGTTAATTGCTCAACAGGTACGTGATCCCCTTTGAAGATGATGATTTATTATTAAAGCAAGTTCACTAAACAAGTAAATTTTAGATTTGAAAATAGATAAAGCATTCTGTAACATTTACATCAAATATTGGTCTCCCTTGCCTTTATGAACCGAGCCTGCAACATTTTCAATTTTGCCGTGTTGGGCTTTCTTTAGGGGTTCTTATTTTCTCTATTTTATCGCCACATCAGCGTTGTTTGTGCTTTGTGGAGGCTGTAAAAAGTCGCCCGTACATTCAATCAGAGATGTTATATTCTCGATCCTCAAAGATCGTTCAGCAAGACATTATTGTTGTGCTTGTGGTAATTTAGTTCTTTCTATACGGCCTTTTTTGTTGGATGGTTCCAGTATTAAATACTGTTGAATCACCCTTAGGATATGTGGCCTGCTTTTTAAATTTGTCTATTGACGTCTTATCTGTGATATGCAGGCTTCATAACCTATGATCCCCTTTCACAATTCCTTTTTATTTAGTTCCGCCCATTGTTTTCTCGTTTAGGACACACGCTTTTTTTTACTTGGGGACCATATGCCGCTTTTCACGGAATGGCACATACGTGTCACATTGAAGGTTCCCTGATAATCGCCATATGAACACATCTGCGGATGTTTCAAAATTCAAAATTGTACCAGTTCATTTTAAATGTTGAATTCTGTTTAAGCCGTTGCTAGGGGGCGTGGACGATAATTTGAACTTGACAGTTCCGTCCATGAGCAGGCTCAATAAAACCGAGCCTGCGACATTTTCAATTTTGCCGTGTTGGGCTTTCTTTAGGGTTTTTTATTTTCTCTATTTTATTACGGAGTGAATTTTCGAGTGTATTTCACAGATATAAAACTTTCAAACCTAACTGTTTGCCAATACATTAAAGGAAAATTATTGTAGTTTTGACATGTAAAGGTTTTTTCTAGACGGTATTAATGTTTTTCTTTATTTATAAAATTGTTTGAGCATTTTGTTGTTGCAATTATATAAAAATTTGCATATGTTCATTCTTTTTTCTGATATTACCCTTAACGGTAGCTAATTGAAAACTAAATGATCATGAGCATAGATCATTGACCATCTTAAGCTTTAACAAAAAAGCGGATATTTAATGCAGATGTATCAGTTATATGTATAAATCATTGCAAATATATACCACATTTACATGAATTAGATATTATAATGAAAAAGACGTGATGTATACGATAATTTAATAACATATTGAGGCTAAAGAGTTTGATTAGAAAAGGTCATAAATTTATTTCCAGATTTAATAGAGGGAATAATTCCTGAAGAAAAAACATGTAACGTTTAAAGAAAACCATTTCATTCTATAAAAGTTGTCATTCACTAATTGCTTAAGTTTGTCCTCAAATTTTATTTAACAGATATTAATGAATGTCTTAATAATCCATGTGAAAATAATGGAAGATGTGAAGATAAAGTGAACGGGCGGATATGTCATTGTATTGATGGATATGATGGTGCAAACTGTGAAATAGGTTAGTTTAATTTTCTTATGTTTGAGTGTCGTTTTACTATCGTTATCGATATTTTCTGAAGCAAAGGTAACACCTAGTTGTGCTCTCAAAATATATAAAGGCTTAAACATACCATGTCATCTTTACCGTACAGATATCAACGAGTGCTCCAGCAACGGCATCGGCAAAAGATACCGATCCCGATTTATTCATAATTCAATTGGCCATAAAGAATCTATGTTCTATTAAATTATATCGATAAAGTAGATACGTTTAATAACTTTTTGAAATGCAGATGTGATATGCGGGATAAATTGTTATTATCCCGTGGCCACGGACATCTCATGAAAACAAGTAAATACTTGTTCTAATATATATTTGTTTAATATATTCGGCTATGTCATGCTGTAATCAGTGGTTCAATACATTCAAATCAGTTTTTCTGCCCATCAGAAAAATGTATAGATAGGTTTCTTACAATGAAATAGAGATTATGAGTTGAGCGGACTCCAACGCCGAGTTTTATTGACACTAACTTCAAATCATGACGTTTCATTCTCAAATAGAAATAAAACGCCATAAAAACGTAATGCATTCATTGATTTTCTCATGTTTCCCTATAGATATAAATGAATGCGATCCTGACCCTTGCAAGAATGGTGGTACCTGTAAGGATCTTGTAAACAAATACGAATGTACATGTGCTGCTGGATACGATGGAATAAATTGTGACAAAAGTAAGATATTATTCATTTAGAATAAAGAAAAATGCGCCATTTTTTTATAGTATGTTTCATGGTTGTTTTTAATATTGGATTAATAATTATTGATCTGAGATCAAGCATTAGTAATATTCCTAATTTCTCTTAAACAAACATTTACTATAGCACCAGTTTATACATGTACAAAGTATATTGAGTATTGTACTTTCTTACTCCAATGAAACCTTTAACTTACAAAAGCTGACGAGGAAATTTCTACTTCTTTCAAAAACTGGTCACGTATTAAACATCCATTTTTCCGACTTTACAAAATTCGTTCTTTTTTTCCGTTTAGACATAAATGAATGTTTAAGCGACCCTTGTAAAAATGGGGCTTCCTGTAAAGATCTTGTCAATGGATACGAATGCACATGTGCGGCTGGATATGATGGAGTGAACTGCGATAATAGTACGTTATTAGAAAATCCTATAAGTAAAGAAAACAAAGATTTCATTGTTGAATATATCATATATGTTTGTTTTATATTGATTCCTTATAAAGAAACATTGTAAAAAAATCCTATTAATAAATACATACGTGTACTTATGTACATGTTTTTGGTGTAGCAAGAACGAATTTGAAATGTAGGAACGATGTCTTCATGAACTTGTTTTACAATTTGACCATTCGACAGGTATAAAAACGTTTTATCTTCTTTTTTTACAGATATTGATGAATGTTCGAGCAACCCATGCAAGAATGGTGCCTTATGTACTGATCTTGTTGATGGTTACAAATGCACATGTGTGTCTGGATACGATGGGACGGACTGTGATAATGGTGAGAAATTAAGATAACTAACTCAGGTTTAGAGAGGTCATGGATATACGGTATAAAGCTCTCAGCATCGGTAAAAGATACCGATCACGATTTATTCATACTTCAGTTGGCCAAAAGAAGCTGTTATCTCTTAAATTAGATCGATTAAGTAGATACGTTTAATAACTTTTTAAATGCAGATGTGATATGCGAGATAAATTGTTATTATCACATTGGCGACAGACATCTCATTAAAACGAGTAAATACATATTCAAATATATTTTTGTTTAATATATTCGGCTTTATCAGTGGTTCAAGACATTGAAATACGATTTCTGCTAATCGGGAAAATGTATAAATATGTTTTTTACAATTAGTTAGAGATTATGAGTTGAGCAAACTCAAACGCAAAGTTTTATGGACACTAACTTCAAATCATGACGTTACATTCTTAAATAGAAATAAAACGCCATTAAAAAGTACTGCATTCTTTCATTTATCATGTTATCATGTTTCCCCAATAGATATTAATGAATGCGATCCTGACCCTTGCAAGAACGATGGTACCTGTAAGGATCTTGTTAACAAATACGAATGTACATGTGCTGCTGGATACGATGGAATAAATTGTGACAATAGTAAGATATCATTCATTTGCAAGAACGGTGGTTAACGGATATAATTCATTCAGAATAAAGAAAAATACGTCATTTTCATAGTATTATTGATGGTTGATTTTTTTATATTGAATTGATACTTATTGATCTAAAATCAAGCATTATTAATATTCCTAATTTCTGTTAAACAAACATTTTCTATAGTACCAGTTTATACGTGCGTGTATACATTGAATGAGTATTGCATTTTCTTATTGAGTTGAGTTGAGTTTTATGGACACTAACTTCAAATCATGACGTTTCATTCTCAAATAGAAATAAAACGCCATAAAAAGTAATTAATTCTTTATATGATCATGTTTCCCAATAGATATTAATGAATGCGGCCCTGACCCTTGCAAGAACGGTGGTACCTGTAAGGATCTTGTAAACAAATACGAATGTACATGTGCTGCTGGATACGATGGAATAAATTGTGACAATAGTAAGATACAATTCATTCAGAAAAAAGTTATATACGTCATTTTCATAGTATGACTGATGGTTGATTTTGATATTGGATGAATACTTATTGATCTGAAATTAAGCATTCTGAATATTCCTAATTTCTCTAAAATAAACATTCACTATAATACCAGTTCATACAGGTATAAAGTATATTGAGTATTGCA